TCTTGAGAAACAATTGCAACTTTAAAGCAAAAATCCTCATGTTTCTGTAATAAATTTTGTTGTCGTTGTAATAAGTCCTGCTGTTGTTGCATCACTTGATCAAATCTATTTTGCATTTTAACATCAAACGTTTGAAATATCTCAGTCATCTGTTTAATAGTTACGGACACCAAGTCCTGCAACTCTCTGCCAAAGGGCGAATTGGGAGCACACTGACTGGGTAAGCTGACACAGTTACTTTTCCATAATGAAAAGAATCACAGAATTTGTGAAAAAGCCACCGTAGTTGTTATGTCCTGGGCCTGTGATTAACAGAGCAGGTGCAGGAAGCTGCAGAGAGACCTGGGCAGACCATGTGGCTGCCCGGGCCAGACAGGCTGTCTCCAGCCTACTGCGCACGGGCAAAACGGGAAAAATACATTGCATTTATTGGCTGACGCTGTCCCTGCAAAAGAGTATAAAAGAGATCTGCGCCATCTTGTTGGTGGTTCCGTTGAGGTTCTGTTGAAGCTTAATAAAGTAACAACTGTTATTACTCCTGCCTCATCTCAATGCCTTACCAACGCACAGAACAGAACATTGGCAACGAAGGTGGGATCGTGCTGCAGAGAAAAGTAGACTGACTCACCACAGAAGCCGAAGGGCTGGGAAGTTCGGCGTTCCGACTTGTGCGACTCTGCCTGCCAGTATAAAAACGCTGGAGGAGAGTTCGGCAATATTCGTTCTGGAACCCCTTTGCAAGCTGGAGCAGCACAAGGCGTTGATGAGGCCACCAAGGAGGAGCGATGGTTAAGATTGGACGTCTGTCCGAATTTGATACAGCGCACCCTGAACGTTGGAGTTCATACATTGCCCGGGTAGAAAACTACTTTCAGGTAAACCAAGTTCGGGAGGACAGACTCAAAGCCACAACATTACTTTGTGTCTGTGGGCAAGAGACATTTGATATTGCTGAGAATCTGGTCGCCCCAGCACCATTGGAATCCATCGCTTATACTGAACTTAAGAAAATGTTAAGAGAGCATTTTGAACCAAAGCTTTCGGTGATTGCATGGGGTCATGCATTTGAGCAGCGGGACCAACATCCAGGAGAGTCTGCTGCGGACTTTATTGCTGCTCTACAGCAAGCTACAAGGCCCTGTGAATTCAAAGATTTAGAAGAATGGCTGAGTGATCGGCTAGTTTATGGCTTGAGGAGTCGAGAGCTGCAACAAAAGATTTTTGCGAAGGAAGACGTTTCCTTCCAAGATGCGCTAAGGGAGGAGCTGTTAAGGCCTTGCGGCTTTCCAAGAACCCTACAAGTTTGGGCTCCATCCATCAAGAGGTTGCTCGAGAGGTATCTGAACTGGATTCCGAAAATGAGGTCGACCTTCTGCAGCAGCCAGCAGAGAGAAGGCCCCAAGAGCGAGCTGACAAGGGGTCTGACAAGGCAGTTCTATTCCCTCGGTGTTTCGAATGTGGAGGATGCAACAAGCACTCCAACTGCCATTTTTGCTCTGCTACTTGCCAGGTGTGCGGCCAGCAAGGCCACATACCTGCCGTCTGTTTGGGTCACAAGAAAGACTGTCCATCAGAAGAGTTGCCTCGGAAAGGTATCAGGGTTCCCAGCCAAAATAGGGTGGGCTTCTGCACGTCCTGCAGGAGCGTTTTGAGAACAGGGGCTCACCGGCCATTAAAAAAGAAGCTGCATCTTGATGTCAAATTGCAGGGGGTCCACTTAACGATGGAGCTGGACACGGGTTCAGCTCTGTCAATCATTTCCCAGAAAATCCTCAAGCAGAGAGCGGCCAGAGAATTAAACTCAGGCTGTCAGATCTTATCTTAACTGACTTCCAGAATTCCCGAGTCAGTGTGAAAGGGGAGGCCACGCTCAGAGTGCAGCATAAGCATTTCGAGGGGTTTCTGGACATCTTCGTGGTTGAGGGTGACCACACGAGTCTAATTGGACTCGATTGGTTCAAGGCACTTGGGATTCAAGTGACTGGGCTACACAGCGTGCAAACGGCCGACCTTGCAGAAGTTTGCAAGGAGTTTGCTGATGTGTTCAGCCCAGAGCTAGGGTCATACAAGGGGCCTCCAATTGCTTTGCGGTTAAATCCCTCCATTGCACCGATTAGGATTAAGCCTCATCGGGTGCCTTTTGCGCTTAAGCAAAAGATTAATGCCGAGCTGGACAAACTGCTACAGCAAGGTATTTTGGAACCTGTGGATAGCAGTCCATGGGAAACACCCATAGTCACACCACTCAAAGCCAATGGGGAAGTCCGCATTTGTGCTGACTATAAATGCATGCTAAACAAAGTGTTACAGCAGCACTCTTATCCGGTGCCTGTGGTGAGCCACATTTTGGCCTCACTTAAAGGAGGCCGAGTTTTCACCAAACTCGATTTGGCTCAGGCCTATCAACAGCTACCGGTTGATGATGCAATGGCTGAGGCCCAGATGATCGTAATACACAGGGGAGCTTTCAAAGTCAGAAGACTGCAGTTCGGGGTTAACGTAGCCCCTGACATTTTTCAAAGCGTGATGGAGCGAACGCTCCGTAACATTCAGGGAGTTTGTCCTTACTTCAATGATGTCCTCATCACTGGGGAATCACTCGAAAACCTGGCTGAAAAGCTTCGGTCCGTGTTGCTGCATTTCCGCGAAGCGGGGCTGAAGCTCAAGCAGGAAAAATGCAAAATTGGAGTAACTTCCACTGAATTCCTGGGGTTTTGCATAGATGCCAAAGGCATCCATCCTGCTGAATCTAAGCTCAAAGTGATTCAGCAGGCCCCAAGTCCCAAGTCGAAGAGCGAGCTTCAAGCCTTCCTTGGGCTTCTAAATTTTTACTATTCCTTCCTCCCCCACAAAGCTGCAGTGGCAGAGCCGTTACACCGGCTCTTGGACAAACAGGCTCCATGGAAGTGGACACAAGTCCACGAAAGGAGTTTTGCTGAGGTCAAGGCATTGTTGTCTTCAAATGCTGTTCTCGCTCATTTCAATGAGCAGCTGCCGGTTTGTATAGCCTGCAATGCATTCCCTTATAGGATTGGGGCTGTCTTAAGTCACCTCAAGGCTGATGGAACACAAGTTCCTGTAGCATACTATTCAAGGACTCTGTCTTCTGCGGAGCGTAATTACGCACAGATAGACAGAGAAGCCTTGGCCATAGTGGCTGGCATAAAAAGGTCCCATGACTTTTTGTATGGTCGCCATTTCACGCTATTTACAGACCACAAGCCATTGCTGGGGTTGTTCACAATGAACAAGCAAACCCCACACATAATTTCTCCTAGAATGCTGAGGTGGTCAATTTTCCTTTCTGCGTATGACTACTCCCTGGTTCACAAACCAGGCAAAGAAATGGGCTATGCAGATGGCCTTAGTAGGTTGCCTCTACAGCTTGTAGAATCTGATCCTGCTCCAGCTAACAACATCCTGGCTATCCATGATTTGCCTGAGTCTCCCCTCAATGCAGGGGATGTGGCTGCAGAAACAGCCACTGATCACACGCTAACACATGTATTGAACTGGGTGCTGTCAGGATGGCCTG